ATGCCATATCAGACCTCTGCTTGTGTCAGAGATCTGCATCGTTGGAAGATGATGCAGATCTCTGACACAGGCAGAGGTTAGAAGATGATGGCCGTGATATGTCATCTGAAAGCGACTCAGATTTGCTGCTGTTTTTCAGTGCAGGGCCAGATTATTCATCTATGGAACCAGTGGAAACAGATCCTGGAGACAACGATGATGATGCCAATAATGAAGGAGACCAAGTGGGCACACGTGCAGAAGAGATGGGTGGAGCCCATCCACTTTTAGTAGCACTCAACAAAGGCGACCACCCTCTCCGTGTCATATGATCAGGAGGTCAGGGAGGAGTGTAGAAGAGAAAACTACTTACCTCGTGTAGCAAAGCGAGCATGTATATGCCTGGCATGCAAAATGAGTGAAGGAAAGGAAAAGGAAATATGTCTGCCCTGACACCTTAATTTAAGAGAGACGCAATCTCTGAGCTAGATGAATTCGCAAGAGTGGGTGAATGTATGCAAATTATTTTTGCAAGATCAGCTGGGCATAAAAATCACAACGTGAGAGAGTATAGTTCAGTTCGTTTTTTGAACATATTCCTGCTTGTATGAAGACTTTGTCAGTTGGAAAGATCACTTGGATCAGTTCCACACACACACACACACACACACACACACACACACACACACACACCCTATGTTATTCAAACTGGGAATAATACATACACAAATTTTCATATTATAAATTCTGTAAAGCTTCTCTAACCCTAAGAGCCATTAAATATTTGCTGAAAAGACATCCACACTTTGCAACAAAAGAGGTGATTCTGGCAACACTCCTGACAATTGATACGGATTAGTTCAATGTGCTTACATCAGCATTATCTTAATTCTCCCTTTCTATCTATTTTGACTAGACTTTTCTAAGACAGTCAAATTTATTGAGTACCATGACAGGAGTGCTGATAATTTCTTGGTACTACCCATTTTCTATGTCAAGGAGTCATATTTACTGCCTTCTATCTTGCACAATATCCAAATATCAATGGGTGACTGTAATCTAGCAATTAGAAGCTGATATAGGTTATAATGAGTGCTTTTCACAAAATATCTTTGTAAATAGGCAATTTTCTGTAGGACATCTTATGACCAGTTCACTCAACATAGCATTGATTCCACAAATGGTTAGAAGACCTTCTGACAGGGGCTGAGCCATGTTGTCTTAATAGTTATCCAAGGCTCCTTTGTAGATACAGAATCTTGCACATTCATAGACTACTCCACTTGATTGGTCTCATGCCAAATGAAAATACTGGCCACACCATTCAGTGAATGTTTCCTGAATGCTCCTCATACCAATTTGATGGAATAAACAATTGTTGTTGTTAGATGTGTTTAGTCACACCAAACCTATGAACACTCCACCCCAATATGGAACTACCATCATCCTGCAATTTGGACCAGATGTCTCTGATCAGGATAATTGTGTACTTGAGGTCAACCATTACACTGTTCAGTGACCAGTAGTTCCTTCCATCAAGTATTCCTGATGTGCACATGACATCATAGTTTGAAAGATGTTGAATATCCCCATAACTTCCATGACATCAAGGTTTAATGGTACTGCCTATTATTACTTTTACATATTCCTTTCCCATGAATTCATTCACAAAAATTCATTTGCTTCTAAAATTTCTGCTTTGACATTTAACTAGTTGACTCTTAAGTGACAATTTTAGGGAATTATTAAGCAAGGAAGACATTTGTATTATAATTAAAATTTCTATACATAAATATTTTTCTTTTGTGCTTTCCACTCTATCTGGTGCAAATGAGAGATGCCTTGACAATCCTGTCTTGGGCTTTACTTACCAAATCACTCCACAGGTTTCTGGTATATGCTTTAAGCTCCCTGTCTGCATGCACACATATTTTTTACATTCTTATTTAACCATTAAGGGTGCCATGTTAGGGCTTCTGGCTTTTGCCATGAATCTTTACAATTAATTCCTAGCTGTATTTATTAATTTTTTTTACATATTAGTTTTATTTTATTTTCTATTACACTTTTGGAGTGCTAACTCCCATTCAGATTTAAATCTGGGACTGATATTGACATAGTTACAAGTAAATGTTACTAAGCTAGAAGTGATTTTTAGAACAATTTCTGGTCATTTTCACATGCCTAGTCTTGGTGACTTGGTGTGTAGTGAAGCCAGATAAAATAAAGTCTTTTGGTGCCATTCAATTGGCAGTTTGTCATTGCTGCTTATTTTATGCCAAAATACTACAGTTTATTAAATTTAATTTTTGATTAATATCTTCTTTCATCTTAATACTTTTAGTTGCCTTTTACTGCAATTTTGGCTGTCAGTAAATGTAAACAGTATGGATTGGAAATAAATATTGATGTTTCCTCTCCATGCCATTTGCCCACTGCTGCAGATTGATGGCCTGAATAAAATAGCAGTAAAGGCAGTTAAAAGAATTAAGATGAAAGAAAAATAAAAAATGTTAACAATATTTGATCAAATTAAAAAAAAAAAAAATACTGAATGAGTGAAAAATATATTTAACAAATTGTTTAATTTTTTTCCTGCGTATTGATTAGTTTAATTCACTTGCAATTTCCTAAATATTTGCTTTCTTTGAGGAAATATAGTTGATTTACAAATAAATAGAAGTTCAAATTGGTATTACAAAAGTAATTTCTACTTGTATTCCACATTAGTATTAAAGATCCTTGTCTATACTTCTGAAAAGATCAGACAATGGATTCATTACTGTCATGTAAAAGTAAGACAAGCTCATTTATTTTTAATGAAAATCTCTCGACATGGTATAGAACATATCACAAAGTAGTTTCTTTAATTTGTATTTTTCTAAAGATTTTCTGATCTTCATTGATAAAACTAGACTATGCTAATCTTCTGCTTTTGATGGAATAAGGAGATGCTGCATATAGAAAAGATCCCTGGTGTAAAACTGAAACTCTTTTCAATTTCCATTTAAAAAAAAAAAAAAGTGAATTAAACAAGAATTTTATTTATGACAGTTATTAGAAAGCAAATTGTTTGCATTTTTAAATGAGAATAAACCTCGATTTCCTTAAGATTTTTAGCTATGCTTTTTTTTTTTTTTTTTTTGTGGTAGTAGATTATTATTACTACTACTATTACTACTCAGCTCCCTGCTTAATCTGGAACTGGTATATCTGTGACATATGTCTGACAACAGTAAAATATCTCATTAGCTGCTCAAGGATAATCATTACTTTCACTATCTTTGTCATGATCTTGAATCATTGTGAGATTCCTTGCTGTCGATTATTCCCAAATGGTTCCTTTCATTTATCTTCATGTTAATCTTATCATCTGACTGCATCCTTAACTTCAAATTTCATTAAGGAAAACTTGTTTGCTCTGCAGTACAATTCACATAATTTGCTTATAAAACTTTCTTGCAGAATACAAAATTTGTAGGAAAATATACTTTACGAAATGAAATGCACTGTAGAAATGGCTGCTTTTTGTTACTGTCGGCCTTGAGTTGTGTCCCTTGCGCTAACATCTGGATGTCAAAATGATATACATCATAAGAAATTAATTTAGTCTTATTAACTATAAAGGAAAAAAATGTAATCACCAAAGCAAGCAAATTAGTCTCTGAGCATTCAAATGAAAATGTTATAAGTTTTTTTTTCTTTGTTAATTCACATAATTTATTTTCTAAACTTCAGAAAAGACTATATCTCTTAATATAAACCTTATGCATTTTAAATAACAGAATTTTATTTCTCCAAATGTTTTGGTAAATCATCTGCATATAAATAATTGCTTAAATAAAATTTATCAATTTTTGTTTTAGTTCTTATAAACAACAAAAAAATAAGTCTTTATACAAAGAGAAATGTTTGAGTGAAGGTTAAACTTAGTATTTATTTTATTTTTGTAGTGGTTTGAATTTTTTTTTTTTTCCATTTCCACTTGAATTGCTCCAAAGTGTGGTCAGTATGTTACAGGTTCAATTTCTTCTATTTTTTTTTTTTTTTTTTTTTTAATCCTTTATAAATTATGAAAAAATACTTGTCAGGATCTGAGTACTCTGGAAACTGAAAGATACCATTATAAACAAAAGTTACAAAAGTGAAAGAAATCTCCCTTTAAAAAGTGATGTATGGAATTTTGTTCAATCAAAATTTAAAATATCTATCTAAAAAAAAATCTTTTAAAAAATGGATGCAAGTTAAAAAAAAAAAAACCAAAAAAACAGTTCTTTGTGACTGCTCTCAAATTTGCCCAAAGATGATACAAGACATATCTGATTATGGTGGTGAACCAATTCATTTTTTTTTTTTTTTTTTTTTTGTAAGAACTGATTACAGAGAACTGGTACACATTATGTACTGCCACAAGGTCTCCAAGATGGCCTCCACAGGCTTTGAATTCAGGTGTCATCCAAGACTGGTTGCCAGCAAAAGCTAAAGAACTTAGTCTGTCCTACTGTTTAATCCATAACTAATAGGAGATATGGATTCTTCCAGCCATCATCAGGAGTATATCAATTTGGTAATTCTAACCTCAATTCCCAGATTGATATATGCCTGATAACAGCCAGAAGGCACAACAGCCAAAATGTTGTTATAACAACAACAAAGATAAGGGCAATAGTTTGAATATAAATAGTGTAAATAATGATAACTAATAATTCCAGAAACTCGGACATGAATTATAATAAACTTATGATTGTCATGTAAAAATGTAATATTGAAGTTATCTTTTTCTTGTAAGAAAAACATAAGTTTAATATTTTTTGTTTCAACATTTAGGATAGATTTGTACTAAAGATTATTTCGGATGGAACCAATAGTTTCTTGTAAAGCTTTAGCCTTGAAGGTGGGGATAAGGTTCTGGGGGTTGTGGGAACCAGAACTAGTTACTTATGTCCCCCACTCCAATCAGCATTTAGAAGTGCTTCTAAAACTGAAATTCTGTTTTAAATCTTTTTCTCTCATTTTTAAAGGTATGGAGAGAATTCTGTGAGTCATTTAAAGACATTGTAGAAGATTACAATTTTGGAACATTGCTGCGATTAGATTCAACTTCTGATTACAACCCAAAAAATACAATCCTTGGTAAGTAATGATAATAAAAACATTTTTTTTATTTCAACTCCTTTGTTCAGTTTTCCAGACAATTAAAATGTAGCATTACTAAATCAGTTTTTAAGTCTTAAACATTGGGATTTACTCAGATGAAGTGAAATCTGACATAAAGCTAAACTAATTCTTTGTTACAATAGTTGTCTTAAGAGTTTTAACCCTAGAGATCAGTCTTTAACTGCTACCGTGGATATTTGCAGCACAACAAATTAACGTTTTACTGTCCATTGTTTCACTGGAACTTTTTCCTTTTTTGATACCAGAGTAGCATTAATTGTATTTTAACCTCTTCTGTGTATATTATTAATAAAATAATCAAAGTTAATGCTCTGCTAGTATATATTAAAAAAATGCCTTAAGATTTACTCTACTAGTAGAATGATAGGCACTAAAAGATTAACCATGATCTCTGCTAAGTGCACAAGTCACACACAGAATACAGCCTGCAGACCACATATATCCCTTGAGACTAACTGGTGTGGCCTACAAGAGGAATTAAGAATAGTAAAAAAAAAAAAAAAAATTGTGTTTAGTGACTGATCACATAATGAAGAATTCAGGTTTGTGGATGTATGGCTTTATTCAACCAATATTTTACAGTCTTTGTATCAAATTAATCCTTTCAACTCTCCCTAGCAGAAGAAAAGGACAGTGTTTTCTTGCCATTCATCCATCCCTCTCTTTTACATCTCACTCATACTTGATAATTTATTTTAAAAATTTATGCTTGCAGCTAATTTTCTGTGATAAATATGACGCTTCACATTTTTTAATTGTGCAGGCCTGACTGCAGCAAATCTTCTGCAGCTGTTATAAAATGGCAGCATGGATGTAAATGTGCATCAAAAGCCACAAGATGCCCATGTCAGTTGTATGACCAGTAAATATGTTAATGGAAATTTGACCATTCAGGTACATATTTCTTGTGTCAAAGGTTGATGTTTCCTAGTTTTCTTTCCTCTTGTACTGTACTCAGCTTAGTAAATATCAACTTTTAATAGAAATTGTGTATAATCAATAAGAAGTCAGTTAAGTGCCATATGTGATACACGCTTGGGTGATCATGTCTCTTGATTCATAACTGACAAGGCAGAAGATTTTCCTGCAGTGGATTGTCATTCCTTTTTATGGTAGACTGGTTGTCAACCAAGGCCATAGGACCCTGTCTGTCCTGTTATTTAACCCATAACTGGAGGGAGAAGAGATGGATTCATACCTTTCCCCAAGCGTATCTGTGCATAAGTGGATATAACGAATTCATCTGGAATTTGAACTCTGCTATGCAATTTCTCATTCTGAGCTGATTCTGTGCCATGACTCACATCCATAAATAAGGAGTAAATAAGCTAATTCAGAGGGACCTATTTTCAGATAGTGCTTATTAGTATATGAAAAGGCCCCAGCATGCATGGATTTGTATATTTTGTAGCATTAAATTTTACCTTGAAATTTAATATAAGTAGGTAGTACCAGCAAAATTGAAAATATTCATCCACATATATAAAATTCTGTGTTTATCAAAATCTTCAAAGATCAATGAAGCTCTTTATCAATCGTCATTTTTGCTTTTATTTTCCTTTGGTCTGGACTGCTACCAATTGATGATGCTAGCAATAGGACTGTATCTGCTTATACTCTCCTAGTATTAATTGAAATTAATTGCCAGGTAATAACTGGATTTGGTGATGTTAGTTATCTATTTAGGTTTTAGTGTAATTTCTTGGTTTTTGATTTGTACATTTCAGGTTTTTTTGTTTTTTTTTTTTTTTTTTTTTTGATTCTTGGTCTGTCCGAGTTTTTAAACACCCCTTTGCTAATGAGTAAAAAATCAGTTCAAAATTTAGCCTCACTAGGATATTCAAATAAAGCCAACACCTAATCTCAAGATCAATAGTTTTTTTTTTTTTTTTTTTTTTTTTTTTCCTTTGATTTTTGGTCTGTCCGAGTTTTTCAACACCCCTTTGCTAATGAGTAAAAAATCAGTTCAAAATTTAGCCTCACTAGGATATTCAAATAAAGCCAACACCTAATCTCAAGATCAATAGTTTTTTTTTTTTTTTTTTTTTCAAAACTCTTATGCCTGTGTTCTGCCATAAATTGAACTTTTTTTTTTGAACCCAGACTGAATTTGACATGTGTATTGTTTTCATGCTGTAGAAATTTAAATTTTGTCAGTATTTACATTAATTACAACTGAACTTTGAACTCATTGTACTTTGGTATAGAAAAATAATGGCATGTTTGTATCGATTGACCCACAAAATCAATTTTTTTAAAAAATTCTTTTCAATTCTAAAGTTGTAACTTTAGAATTCTCTATTTAATTTTGACTTGTATATAATGACAGGTATACCTCCCATATAATGGTGTCTTCATCTAACTAGAGAGATATTTTAGCTGTACACTGTATAATCTGAAGCACATTCACTGGTTCCTTGGATATATGTAAAATTATTAAATTATAATTTCAGCAAATATGGTTATTTTAATGGTGAGTCGGCGGGGAAAGGATCATAAATTATAAATTTTCAAGTGTGTTTGCATTTTTTTTTTTTTTTTTCCCTTATGTGATTAATTCATTGAGATTTTCAGGTGGAAGTGTTTATATTCATTGCTAAATAATAACAAAACACTAAGAAAATCCATTATATGCTGAAGTAATTTCTAGATTTTAATAAAGAAAAAAAGATTATTGCAATTCACAGTGGTCAATTAATAATGAATATAATTTAAGGAAAAATGTTATTTGGCTAAGTTTGCCAATGAAGAGCAGAAAGTACTATTCACAGGTTATAAAATTGGTCATCTTTCAGCAATATTCTTTTTTTTCTCAATTTTAATCAAATAAAACTTTTTTTCTTTTTAGTTCCTAGGATCCAGTTTCTTGCCATTGAAATTGCACGGAACATTGAAGGCTACAACAGCTGTCTTCGTAAAAAGAAAACGGAACTTGAAAAAGAAGCAGAAGAATTAGAAACATAATTTTTTTAGTAAAATTAAAAGAATTTTTTTTTTTTTTTTTTTTTTTTACCCTTCACATTCTGCTGCCTTTTGGTGAGGCTGTCATACTCTCACCTTCAGATTTTTTTTTTTTTTAACTCTTGTAAAAATGCTATTATTTTATAAATAATTCTTTTTATCTCGGTTGTTAAGAGTTATGAAATTTTTAAAATGTTATCGGTAAGAATACATACTTATTTTGCTTACAGATTAGATTTGTTTTAACATCTTTCACCTCAGCTGGAACAAGAGAGTTCCTCTAAACAGTCAAATGCTTCATGAATCATCCCTGGCAGGATTGTGAGTTTTTTTGTTTTTTTTTCCTATAGCTATTATCAGAAATTTCCCCAAAATGCCAGGATGAAAATTTTTTATTTTTTTTGCAACCAATAATGTTTGGTCAAAAATGTTGGTAATCAAAAAAGAACAAGCAATACTTTTCAGAAAGGATTGTATTACATTAGTTCTATCCCAGTGCACAAAAAAAAAATAAATTTTTTATTAAATGTTAACTTCTTCCCCATCAGACATGCATATACGTGTCCAAAACATAATGTTCAGAAATTGGCTACAGATGTGTTTATCTTTATTTTTGTTTTATAACCTTCTGATCATGAAATGAGTCTGATTGTCAACTCCTACATCTGATAGAGATGTTAGCTACCGCTAGGGTGCCTCAGTTTCTTAGTTATTATATTAAAAACAAAAAAAAATTGTCTGAAAATGACTAATTTTTCCCAAAATTGGTGGGAAAGGGGTAATAGGTTAAATACAGCATTTTTATATCTAGTACAAAAATCCTGTAACTGACATTTTAAGTTTTTCATTTGAGAAGAAAGTACTCTATCAAAATATGAACTTTTCTATAGTTTTTCTTTCATTGATCTGGTTGTTTACTAGTTCATACATTGATTGGGGAAAATGTATGGAAGGAGAGAGGGGTAGAAAAAAAAAAGAAGCAGTTTTTAACACTTGCTACCTACCTAAGTGTATATTGTGATATACAAGGGCTTGCTGAATTTGAAAGTGGATCAGACCAACCAATAACCTTTCAGTAATTTTTATTTATTATATATATATAATTAATCATAGAATATACATTATTTTGTGATAATAGTTTGAAAAACAACCAATTTAAGTCCAGACACAAAAAATATTTTTGTCATGGACTGAACTCTTAAGCAGTAAAATCCAACCTTTTTTTTTTTTTTTTAAAATGAGGAATTATTTTCAGTTGTAACTTAAAATAGTTTCTCATTGGAGAGATTTTTTTTTTTTTTTCATGCCAACCAAAAAAAAAAAAAAAAAATCAGTGTTCTCTATGATTGTGTATTACAGGCAAGCAAACTACTTTATATTTACCCAGAAACAAATTTACATTGTTCATTATTTTACTGATATCTGAGATAGATTTTTTTTTTTTTTTTTTGCTGGCATTAAGAGCAGCAGGTACCTCAAAGCATAATGTTAAAAAAACAATTTACTCCTAGAAAAAGCCTGTGTGGGTTTAGCTTGAATTTTTTTTTTTTTTTTAAGTAAAATACTTTTAGCTGATACATAAGAAACAACAACCTGAAACACTTTCACTGCTACCTTAGGTATTTGTGCTAATATATAAAGATTATAAGTCAATAAAATTCACACATGGAAATTTATAAAAGCATACAGCTTAAAATATATAAAATAAATTTAATTCTTTCACTGTCTATCCAAGCTACTTTGCTTCATTTTAGTTGGTTACTGAGATTTTATCTTGTGGTTTAAGATGCAGTGTTGCTGACCTTAACAGTAATAACAATGAAAATACATTTCAATCTAAATTTGCACTGCATCAGGACACATGGCACAGTGGATAAAGGCGTTGGTTAGATCCAGTGACAGACCCAAAGAAGGTGAGTTCAATTCCTGGTTAAGGCATCTTAAGGCAGTGGAGAACTTTCAGAGGGAAAATTAGCAGGAGATAACTGATAACTGACATCCATCAAACATGGCACGTGGAATTAGAACAGTCTACCCCAGCGATCGAAATAAAGGGTTCAGTTTGAAATTCCAACCACCTGAAGAAGGCCGGAGCGTAAACGGCAAAACGTTGTGACAAATATGGCGACAAAGATGAGGACAATAGTCCGACTAATGTAAATACTGTACATAATACCTCATCTCAGAAATATAGACAAACTCATAAGTTAGTTTTCTGCTTTAAAAATCTTCCAAAAACAAAATATACTTTTTTGAAACTATGCTTGAGGAATATTAGTTGATTTAAAGTATAATTAATCTGATCTGAATTATTATTTAATTGCAGAAAGCACTTTTTTTTTTTTTTTGGACTGATTTGACATTTTGACAGCCTGATGACAGGTCTAATGTTGTTATATGGAGACTTTATCTGTAAAACATAATTTAAGAAAATGATGTGAACATTTTTAATATATAAATATATTTTTGAGTACTCGGTAATCTTAAAAATTTAGGAAAATATTCTTTGTAATCTAATGTTTTAAATTTTAGAAATGCTGACTTAAATTTAATATAATCATCACTTTTGTTTTCTGGTAATGTTGTGTATAGTCACCCATATTATAAAAATGGACACTTTCATACACCAAAAAAATACTTTTAAAAATATTGGTGTTTGATGTTCATTATGCTTTTCCATTTATGATGAGTAAATAGTTTTCACTTAATATTATCTAAAAGGCTGAAATTAAGAACAATTTTTTTTTTTTTAATTAAAATATATAAAAAAAAAAAAAAATGAAAGCAATTCTTGTAAAAGTTTATTAATCATCAGAAAATATATTAAGGACAATTGTCTTAAAAGATATTTATAAAAGCAATTAAAATTAATGTCATAGTTTTATTGCATTTTTTATTTTACAGTTCAGCAAATTTTCAGTAAATGGTGTTTCTGTTTGACAAAAACAAAATAATTGAAATTCTCAAATGAGTCCGGCTTTTAACAAATATAAACATTAAGCATTAATATTTTTTTTTTTTTACCAAAATTTCAAAAAAAAAAAAAAAATTGATTTGTTAATAAGTCCTGAGAATTTCATTAAATTCTAACAATTGTGATTTTTTTGCCAAAACAATGTTTTTTACCGCAAAAAAAAAAAAAAATGCTAAATTTCCCATACTAAGCTTTGGCCCAGCCACTGACAAAGAAAAAATATTTTTAACCAAAATTTTAAACATCTGAGAAAGGAATAAATAACTTAACAAAATATGCAAAAATACTTTGATCTTTCCTCTTAATAAGAAAAATTTTGATGCTAAAACTTTGTTTTTTATCAAGTTTGGGGCCTGTTTTCATTATGGTATGCTTGTCTGTTTTTTTTTTTTTTTCTAGCTAATCTGTGGTTGTACCTAATGTTATTATTTAATCAAGGTTTCTGTACCACCTTCAAGAACAAAATAACACACATGCACAATATCCCTTATAATGAACACTTAAAAATGACCACGTATGTGTTTATAGTATTTATAACAATCAAAATTTTGAAAGAGTTGAATTGTATCAACAGGGTTTTAAAGAGATCTAGATAATTCCTGTGGAGTTGACCAAATAGTTAATGACATGGGAAATATAACAAGCAAACCAGATTCAAATTTCAGCTGAGGTAGTGTGCATTGAATTTGTACTAATGCCTTTAGAAGTCCACTTCTTATAAGTCAGGTAAGGGATTACTTTCCTGATACTGATGCCATGTAATATAGTACAATCTATAAACTGAAGAAGAATATCCCTGCTACAAAGGATCCAGTATATTTTGACAATCTATTTATGGAATAATTTGATTTTAAATTATTTATATTGTTTTGAAATATATGAGAGGGAATATATGAAAAATAGTTAAGTGTTTAAAATTTTATTTTATTCACTAACAACATCATCAGAATGACTGGAAAAAACAAGGAAAAATTGTTACAATGGCAATCTTAGAAACACTAGTTATTTTGAAAATTTAACAATTAATAAAATTGAGAAATATCTGAAATCAATAAGGTTTTACATAGGAAAATGTTGAAATAAAATGTAAAATATAGTGATTTGATATAGGAAAAAGTTATTGTAATAATAATAAATCCGATATATTTAAAGAAACAAGTGAGTTCATATAATTCAAATTATAATTTATTTAGGTGTTAAGGAAAAGATAAAATTAAATTAAATTATATTTAACCAGTATCTTTTAATATTATTTCTTTATCTTAGCCAGAAAAGATGATATCTTATAAAAAAGCTACTTAAACAAAATGAATCCTGATATTGAAAATGATTCAATCATTCTTCAAGATGATTTCTGATGAATAAATTTCTGAAATGCAAATTACATTGGAATATACGAGGAGTGACGAATAAATAAATATGGTCACCTACTGTGTAGTATTACTAATAGACATTATAATTTATGGTGACTGCAACATTTTATAGCTTTAAATATGGATTTTTTAAAGTATTTATATAACATATACAAACATTAAAATATGAGGAGAAAGATCAAGGAAAAAAATGTGATCATCAAAAGAATTATATATATATATATATATATATAAAACACGTAACTGGTTTCATTCAATCAATTACAAATAAAAATTTGTGCACAACAGCTAAAATATAATTGGGGGAGAAATTACCAGAGACAATCAGCAATACAAGTTAGAGAGATAACATTGAAACCTAACAACCACTCCCGGATGATTAGCTTTGATATGATAATTCGAATGTGCTCTGCTGACAACAGAAAAATTTCTGGTGCAACATGAACTACATATTGAATTTCTTGAGATTTTTGTTTTTGCAGACTTGGATGCATGGACAAGCATATGCAAATTGTTATATTGCCTTCAAAAAGTCTTAGCTGATACATGCTGATCAATATTAACTAGTTCTGCCTATATATTCAGCATCAATCAATTCAGTGATATCAGTGTCAGCTGATGTCAAATAGAAACATGAGCTCTCACAAAAATTGTTC